TGCATTTCATTGTGGGCCCAGTGGGGGCAGCAAAGAAAGTTCCTGCTCACAAGGTTGGTGGGATCTTTTCTATTTGTGCCATGTAGATGAATTGTGCATTAAAAGATGCTTGTTTCCTTGTCCTCTTAACTCAGTGAGGACATTGTTGCACAAATGCAACAAAACAATTGCCTAGAAATATCAGAATATCAGCAGTTCGGGTCTCACCGGCTCAAGGTTGACTCAGCCTTACATCCTTCCGAGGTCGATAAAATGAGGACCCAAATTGTTGGGGGCAATATGCTGACTGTAAACCACTGACAGCACTGTGAAGCGGTATATAAGACTAAGTCCTATTGCTATGTATTTCCTTGCAGTTTATCTGCAGTTGAATTGCAGTGGGGTGGGAGGGGAGGAATCCAAACTAATAGCAGATTTCAAAAAAAAATGTGCTGATATATTCTGATCTAAACCATTATAGCTAAGTGGGAGATAGGAAAATTAATGTATTTGATTCTCTGCCTACCAAACCCTGATTTTGAATTTATAATTTTTAATGCAGTATGTATTGGCAGTGGGTAGTTCGGTCTTCTACGCAATGTTTTATGGAGATCTTGCAGAGGTCAAGTCTGAAATCCATATACCAGATGTAGAACCTGCTGCTTTCCTAATCTTATTAAAGTAAGTAATAATTAAGACAAGTTACTAATTGCATGATTTTTTAAAGCAAAAATTTAAGGAACATGAATGTAAAAATTTAAAATCATCAAAAAAAATTCGAAAGTTGTAACTAAGAGTTGTGTATTTTTCTTTTTTAAAAAGGGAATCTTTTTATATTCATAGGTACATGTATAGTGATGAAATCGAGCTGGAAGCAGACACTGTGCTTGCTACTCTGTACGCGGCCAAGAAATACATTGTCCCAGCCTTAGCAAAAGCTTGCGTCAATTTTCTGGAGACTAGCTTAGAGGCCAAGAATGCTTGCGTTCTGCTGTCTCAGAGCAGGCTCTTTGAGGAACCAGAGCTGACACAACGCTGCTGGGAAGTCATTGATGCTCAAGCTGAAATGGCACTGAAATCAGAGGGCTTCTGTGAAATAGATCAACAGACGCTAGAGATCATTGTGATGCGGGAAGCACTAAACACCAAGGAGGTTGTGGTGTTCGAGGCAGTTCTGAACTGGGCTGAGGCTGAATGCAAGCGACAAGGGCTGCCAATTACGCCAAGGAACAAGAGGAATGTATTAGGGAAAGCTTTATACTTGGTTCGGATTCCAACCATGACTTTGGAAGAGTTTGCCAATGGGGCTGCTCAGTCTGACATCCTGACCCTTGAGGAAAGACATAATATTTTCTTGTGGTATACTGCTGCAAATAAACCGAAGTTAGAATTTCCACTAACGAAGCGGAAAGGACTTGTACCTCAAAGATGCCATCGATTTCAATCATCTGCATATCGCAGCAATCAATGGAGGTACAGGGGACGATGTGACAGTATCCAGTTTGCTGTAGATAAAAGGATATTTATAGCAGGACTGGGACTCTATGGGTCAAGTTGTGGAAAAGCTGAATACAGCGTCAAAATTGAACTGAAGAGGTTAGGCACTGTACTTGCCCAGAATCTTACAAAGTTTACATCCGATGGATCTAGTAACACTTTCTCAGTATGGTTTGAGCATCCTGTGCAGGTTGAGCAAGACACCTTTTACAATGTAAGTGCCATTCTAGATGGCAATGAACTCAGCTATTTTGGACAAGAGGGAATGACTGAAGTACAGTGTGGAAAAGTGACATTCCAATTCCAGTGTTCCTCAGACAGCACCAATGGCACAGGAGTGCAAGGAGGACAAATACCTGAACTCATTTTCTACGCATGATGCATTTCACTTAGATTGTATTCCAGGGCTGTTCTGCATATTAATAGATACTCTGATCTGACTGAAAGACTGCAGAGCAGGTCAGAGTATTATAGTACTTACTTATCTATTTACCATCAGGCTATGAAACTAAGTGAAGGAATGCTCTTGAATTTAATCTTATTTTATTTATTCATAAGCTATTTGACTTAATTATTAAACTGCAGTATGCAGAGCAAGAAATGTTTAAAAAAATTGCACATGATGTGCATTTATTTTGTATATAGACAACTAACGGCTGAGACTGACTCAACTAGAATGTTATAAAGTAGAGCAGTTTGAGAACCTGTTGAATATAAAACATTTTTACTTGTCCTAAATCCTTATGTGCTTTGCTCATTATTAATCTTCTGGTACTTGAACCACATCAATATATGCAGAAATAGTAACACTTTTTTTTAAAGATGAAACCTAAGGTGCTATAATTCCACATCTATTTCTGTAAGCTAAACTTCTAAGACTGAAGACACATCTGAAACTAAGATTGCACTACAGAACAAACATTTTATTTTTATATAGCATTAGTGGAAATGTTTGTTCCTAAAACATAATGAGTAAAATAAATATAATTTCCAGGAGATGAATTTCTCTTGATACAAACGTGTGTACAAAGAAAAGGTACATCTAAAATTTCAGAATTCTGTAACACCGCGACAGAATCTAAAGTATAATCAAATTGTTATACAGTGCTTTCTTCTTAACCAACAAAAGCCAGGTCATAATGGCTGTATTCATAGATCATGATTAATCTACCCAGCACACACCAATCAAGTTTTGTATCGATATAGCTGCCAGGCCCTTATTTCACTTATTTAACCATATTGTGTGGAAACAGGCCTGAAAGTGTTTTCAAAATCTCAGCCCTACGTTTGTTTACAGAATGGTAAGCTAATAACTACAGGCAGGCAGCTATTTCCTCTCACAAAACATTTTTCACTACTAGGTTCCATGTGTCCAAACTGATTTGTCATAGATCATGTAATAATAAGTACATTCACTTGATTTTCAACGTCAGAATACTACAGGAATCTACTTTGAACACCATGCCATTTACTTCTGAGTAAGTAAACTGAAGATCAAGCTGTTTAATTTAGTATTTATAATTTAATAATCCCCCAGGAGGAGACTGTCAGCCATCTGTATATGTAACTATAGAGACAGCCCAAGAGGCAAGCAACAAAGCTATCACAAAGTGTTATCTTGCAGCTACTGCGCTCTACAAAATGAGTTTTACTTAGTGTCCTTTCCATTCCTGTTCATCCAGCAATGGGGACGTATGCTCATCAAGCCACAGGCACTTAACTGGGCAATATATGAATTAGGATAAGTCAGAAAAGTAGTATCTGCCAAGATCTAAAGGAGCTTATGAGCTATGTAACCAAGGGGATTCCGGATTTGTTTTCCATGACACATTTCTACTATAGGAGGAAACTTCACAAATACTTAACAGAAATATGGGTATATATAATGCCCAATATAGTTCCTCATGTAACATTTTTAATAAGCATCAAACTAAAGTTACGAGATAAAAGCAAATAGCTTTTCAATCTCAATATTGTGCTAAATCCATATTAAAATGTATGATATTAATATGATACTATTAATAGTGTCTGCGATTCATCTCTGAAAATTTAAAATTCCTGATAAAGAGTTATAAGGTCCATTTACACAGCTATAGTCTTATTAAGTAATTAGACTGAAAGAGCGTATCTGAATTATATCCTAAATACATATGCTACTATGTGAAACCAACAGCATAATCATTTAACCAGCATGCACAACAAGCTAATTTAGGGAAACATCTCGCACAGCTTGCCAGCACTGTTGCTAGGAGCATTAGTCAAAACATCCCTGGTTCAAATGTCTTCTCTGCCATTACCACTCCATATGGTCACAGGCAAGCCACTTTCTCAAGGATAATGGTCTGTTTTAAGATTACTCAGACAATATACCCAAAGTGGTTTAGACACTCTAAAATGGTATATAAATTATTCAGAATGTCAGAAATGAATTATTCTAGTTTTTGTTAGCAGTAAATTTTGGCATTTTTTAACATATCATACCACTTTCCCAGTATCTTCAGAAATGACTTAATGAAAATGTTCAGTTCATTTCTGACATCCATGGTATAATGCTGTTACCACTGTTGATACATCAAAACAGTTAAGAACATTTTTATAGGGATTAGTACCACACACTAGACAATATGATACTAAGACAATGGTTGAGCGTTTCTCTGTTTTCTGCAAAAGTACCACGAAGCACATTTCTTTTGTCACAAATGTTCTTTGTGCATTTAAACTCTCTCTATAGAGCTCTTACACAAAATTCTTTTTTTTTAAATCATCTTTTTCAAAACAAATCATAACGACCTGGTTTGCATAGAAGTCTAAGTTATAATGAATAGCTTAGAAAAGCTAACAGTATAGTACTGTATGTCTAAGCATTATGCATGAACCAGGTCACAGAGTCAGTGGTATATATAACATCACTATTGTAATTACTGTCCACAACTCATGATATAGAAAGGATCATGTTTTGGATTTTGCAAAATTGCAGAAGCAGCACTGCCCTTTTTTTAAGGAGACAGGCCTCAAATCCCTCTAAAGTAATCAAGCTCTTTATTATTCATTCACTTTTCCTTTTCTATTTTTAATATTGGATGTCCTCATCACATATAATCCTGGGAAAGAATAAACTTTGTTTAAGCAGCTGTTGGCAAGTGCAATATTCTATATTTGGGCTATGTTCCATGTTCATGCCTCTGCCTGCTCTGAAACATTATTTGCCATTAAGTCCAAAGCACTTATTACCATCCTTATTTTATTTCTGTTGAATGTTAGTTCAAATATATGTTTTGTTAGTTACTTCAAAAGATGGATATAACTGGAAGAAGTCACACTGATAACAGAAGTAACTGTTTTTCAGTTTTAAGGTAAACCCTGAGCTTACATAGACAGTTTTCATTTCTAGATTCCTCCAGTCTTAATTCTGAAGTATCTTTAAATACCAGTTAAACAGTCCATGTAAGTATTTTTGAAAAGCTGCCATGAAATAATGGCACAATGTAACTACATATCAAAAGCTAACTCTTATTTAAAAATACCTATAGCTGGAGCATTTATGCAGAGCTCTCGGGCCAACAGAAGGAACGTTTTTCCCAGCACATAGACGTTCACCTGTATAAAGAAAAAAATGATTCTTTGAATTAAGAAGCAGAAGAATAAATCTGTCATTAGATGAAACAGCCTGAAAATAATCATCTAATTTTTAAACAAGCATCAAAATGTTTTCAAATAAACCCCAAATTTCTCTGACACAGCCAATTACTTACCAAATTATTTAGGAAGGGAAAAAAACCCTAATAGATTGCACGTAATTCTGACTTTGTGCTACCAGAGGGAAAAACAGGTTATGTTTATATAAGGTAGGGCAACCAATTTTCACTGATCTCATTGGCCAGCAGTCCCTTCCTTTGAAAAGCTGCTTCTAAATCTTAGATGACCTTCCAGAACAAAATTGAATACAGCACAGAATTCTGCAGTAAAGAGAAATAATGAAAACTGTATGGGAGTAGTTTCTATGGGAGTAGTTTAAAGCCTCTCTAATACAAAAACAGTTTTGTATTCCATAAAAACAGATACTTTGTCATTTTCCAAGATTCTTTTCATATGTGAACTTCTATGTTCTTTTAATGCCCTTTATTTTTCCTAAGCATTTTTATTCCGGTTTACATACATAATTTAATCAGTTATGTAGCTGACTGGGTACCAGCTAATTTATAATGATTTATTGACATAAACCCCAAATAACTGAAAGTTTATATTGGTTTAATATTACTGGAATTAAAGAAGCATGGCTCCTAATTGAAAGATTGCTAGTAAGTAAAATATTAAAAGTGTGCCTTGTTTCTTCCACTTCTGTGGTCCGAGTTCCAGGTTGTCTCTTTGAAATATATGGGAGAAAGAAGCTACATCAATCCTGCAAATATACAAACTGTAACATAGCACTTGCATTATTCCAATATATGAAAGGTAAATTTCTGAGATCAAGTGGAGATGAAATTCCCTGTGAATAATAACTTAAACAAAAACTATCCTGCCATAAGCTGCTGCAGTTTCAAAAATCTCTTCACCACACCACATGCAACGAAAGTAAAAATAAAAACAAGGAACCAAGCAGCCTTGCATTTTATCCTCAGAGGTGTCAAAGAGAAGTGCAAAGTAGATAAATGTCTTCCCAGGGCAAAGGAAGGAGGTGCAAAATAGTCAACTTGTACTTCCCTTACAATACCCAAAGCTCATAATCTACCAACACATGTTATTCTCAATTTTATTTTGTTATTGGGACAATGAAAAAATAATTAATCAAATAGCAGAAAGTGTAGAGAAAAGGTCAGTACACAGTGTCATCCAGAAAAACTGGATGCTAACAACATCCTCAAAATTGTTCAACATGTTCAGAATTTCAAAGTAGGCTTTCTTAATACATCTGTGGACAGCAGGCTGTGAATCATCTCATTCAAGAACTCTTGGTAACTACATTCTCCATGCTTGTTAATCATTTGTTCTTTACTGTATGCAGAACTATGCACTACATAAAATTCTGTCAATTTACTGAAGATAAATTTTACTGCAGATTTTTTAAATCAAAAACCCTACAGCTTTAACACTTTTGCCAAGTTGTAATTTCACCCTTTTTCACTGAGTAGCTACAGAAAACTGATCAACAATCTATGTTTTGTTTGAGAAGTCAAACAGACATCTGAGCCAAAAGCTGTACTACTTTCTTATTCTCTCATTAAATTTATGCTCATACCTTTCCATTTAAAGAAAGGGGTAATGCATGTATTAATTAATGGATCAGTTTTGTGTAGTGATTACAATGCTGGCCTAGAAACCAGGAGACTATGAATTCTAGACTTCAACCAGCCTCTTTCTCTCTCAGCCCAATCCACCTCACAAGGTTGTTATTGTGGGGGAAAAAGAGGAGGAGGAAGGAGTATTAGGCATGTTCAGCACCTTAGTTACTTATAAAGTAAAAATCAATCAAACAAATGAACACTGGTGATAGTAGAGCTATCATTCTCTACTCTCTACCTAGCCTTCTTTGTGGCAGGTTAAAACAACCTCTAGGTTGCTTCAGGGTTAAGTCAGCAAAATGGAAGCAAAAGTCTGTCATAGCCAATTTCAAATAAATTGCAAAGAGAGAGGCAAAGAAAATAAATGCAAGAGAGAAATACAGGTGGAATGATTAACAATTATTAGGCCCCAGTATTAGGCCCCAATTTCAATTTAGGTACCATATTACATCTCCCCAGATATTTTAAAAGCATCTATGTTCTTAAGACATATCATATTATTCCAGTATCTCGAAAATTCAAAGGAGAAATTGGCTGGATTCACACATAAACTATAATGCAGTTAGTTGTTTGGGGATTAATGTATCAACTCTTATATTGTTCAACAAATCAAGATCACAAATCCACCATCAAAATTATGTGTGAATATATCCACAATTCCAAACCAGAAATTACAATAGAATCAGAAATCCATAATTTAAAATTTAAAGCGTGGATTAGGATTTTTAATCTAAAAGGGCAACGGTTTAGAGTTGCACACATAATCATCCTCAACACTCCCTTTTCTACGGAGCAGGAGCTTTTTCAGATGCAAGGTAGTGGCCGTAACTACAGTCACCCTTAGTGAAAACCCCAATGTACCAATGTTATCTACAATGTATCACAGGAGTGAGTACACCCTCTCACATTTTGTAAATATTTAAGTATATCTTTTCATGTGACAACACTGAAGAAATGACACTTGGCTACAATGTAAAGTAGTGAGTATACAGCTTGTATAACACTGTAAATGTGATGTCCCCTCAAAATAACGCAACACACAGGCATTAATGTCTAAACTGCTGGCAACAAAAGTGAGTACACCCCTAAGTGATAATGTCCAAATCGGGCCCAAAGTGTCAATATTTTGTGTGGCCACCATTATTTTCCAGCACTGCCTTAACCTTCTTGGGCATAGAGTTCACCAGAGCTTCATAGGTTGCCACTGGAGTCCTCTTCCACTCCTCCATGCCATGGAGCTGGTGGATGTTAGAGACCTTGAGCACCTCCATCTTCCGTTTCAGGATGCCCCGTAGATGCTCAATAGGGTTTAGGTCTGGAGACACGTTTGGCCAGTTCACCATCTTTACCCTCAGCTGCTTTAGCAAAGCAGTGGTTGTTTTGGAGGTGTGTTTGGGGTCATTATCATGTTGGAATACTGCCCTGCGGCCCACTCTCCGAAGAAAGGGGATCATGCTCTGCTTCAGTATGTCACAGTACATGTTGGCATTCATGGTTCCCTCAATGAACTGTAGCTCCCAAGTGCCAGCAGCACTCATGCAGCCCCAGACCATGACATTCCCACCACAATGCTTGACGGTAGGCAAGACATACTTGTCTTTGTACTCCTCACCTGGTTGCCGCCACACACACTTGACACCATCTGAATCAAATAAGTTTATCTTGGTCTCATTGGACCACAGGACATGGTTCCAGAAATCCATGTCCTTAGTCTGCTTGTCTGCAGCAAACTGTTTGCAAGCTTTCTTGTGCATCATCTTTAGAAGAGGCTTCCTTCTGGGATGACAGCCCTGCAGACCAATTTGATGCAACATGTGGTCTGAGCACTGACAAGCTGACCCCCCCCACCCCTTCAACCTCAGCAGCAATGCTGGCAGCACTCATATGTCTATGTGACGCTAAACACAGGCACTCAACTTCTTTGGTTGACCCTGGCGAGGCCTGTTCTGAGTGGAATCTGTTCTGTTAAACTGCTGTATGGTCTTGGTCACTGTGCTGCAGCTCAGTTTCAGGGTCTTGGCAATCTTCTTATAGCCTAGGTCATCTTTATGTAGAGCAACAATTCGTTTTTTCAGCTCCTCAGTGTTCATTGCCATGAGATGTCATGTTGAACTTCCAGTGACCAGTATGAGAGAGAGCGAGCAATAACACCTTTAACACACCTGCTCCCCCTTTTCACCTGAGACCTTGTACCACTAATGAGTCACATGACACCAGGGAGGGAAAATGGCTACTTGGGCATTATCACTTAGGGGTGTACTCACTTTTGTTGCCACCAGTTTAGACATTAATGCCTGTGTGTTGCGTTATTTTGAGGGGACAGCACATTTACCCTGTTATACAAGCTGTATACTCACTACTTTACATTGTAGTCAAGTATCATTTCTTCAGTGTTGTCACATGAAAAGATATACTTAAATATTTACAAAATGTGAGGGGTTGTACTCACTTCTGTGATATACTGTACATTGTGATTTCAGATTCTGGTTTGCCAATCGTAAACTATGATTTCTCAATTTATATTTTATAGAAATAATAGTTAAAGTTCTTAGCATGATTTCAGATGTCTAAATTGACTTACTAAGACATGGCAAAGTGAAACTTAGTTCATATACTCAAAAAATATTATTAAGCATTTGATCTAAATTTAGCTGAAAAAAGCTCAAGAACTAAATTGAGAGATTAGACTGGAACCTACCTACAGAGCTAATATTAATAGTTCTCAAAATTTATGTGGCTTTGCTACCTAAATTAAAATCTGTGCTCAATAGTACTTTCCATTTTCTTCTTCCTGGATGTCTGTGGCTATATAATTCAGAGATACTCTTCTCCTTTATTTTTCTCCTACTGTCAGACTGTAACCAGCCAGCTGAGTGAGTGGAATGGCAGGAACAACCCAATCTACCATTTACTGTACCTTAAGTGGCTTAATTCCAGCTAGTAACCAATGGAAGATTGTCATTTGCAGCAAAGCAAGAATGTGATTAAATATCTAATATGTACCAAATGACAACACTGATGTGTTTTTGATACCTTTTAAACTGTTTTTTAATATTTGGCCTGACCCAATCATGAACTAATATCTGTCTTTTAATAAATGGTTTTTACACAGTTTTTATTCAAGATCTGCTTTTACTTTGGTTTATTCTACAATATTTTGCACTTTTAGTAAACTACACAAGGATTTTGCACGTGCATCTAAAAACAAAACAGAAATACTACTAATTAATTCATAAATCTACTGGATGAATTACATAAAATAATACAAATACAATCAAATAAAACTGATAGGCAAAATGACACCACACATCAACAGAA